AAATTAGCGACGCCGAAAAACGTCCGCGACGCAACGACGACGACGCGGCCGCCGCTGTCGGCGGCAGGTCAGGTGACACTGGGAGGGCGGCGGGGCGGGGCCGGCTGTCACCTCCGGCCGGCCGAGTTGGAGCCGGGCGGTCACCCGAGTCGGAACCTCCCCCCCCACCCCCCACTCTGCCCCTGCCCTCCCCCGCTCCCGACCGACCCAGCCACTGAGCGTCCACAGACCACAGGCCGTCCCAGCGGCATTCATCGCGCATGGCCGAGAGGCCTCTGCCCTGAGCAGCGGCTGCCGCGACCAAGGACGTTCCTCTATAACAGCCAAAGGTCAGCTCAGGGATTTGGTAACCGTTTGAAGGCACTCCGTCTGGCATACACCGCCTTTCCATTTGATGAAATTGGCCGTCGGTCGGGCTGTCAGTGCACATGGACGGGTGTCACCTGAACAGCTCCTTTCCGGCGACCGATACGCTGATCTCCGGGGAAATAGGATGACACCGTCAGACAGCCGTCCATGTCTCATCACCAGACGCGCCAGACTAACGATACTTTCTGATAAAAAGTTTTGCGCGAAGTTTAAAGGACCCTCCCACCTTAAAAAAAGTTTATGAATTGGCTATATCAGTACATAAATGGAAAAATGTTTCATCATGAAATTAAATGTAAAATGTTAGAATGAGCCTTCAACTTCTCAACATCGTCAGAGTCGTCAGCGTCTTCAGAATCCGACCATGCCTTAGGCCCTACCTACTGTTGGCACTCATAAGTCAGATTATTGGATAAAACATTATCAGCGTCTGAGCGAAGTGATCGTTTGCAGGACAAGGTCAAAGTGTAAGGCTGCTCTGCCCCCAGCAGGTGCAGGAACCAGCTAAGAAGTCCGGCGAACTCCGTGGCTCGTGCATAGGCGGGAACATTCACTAGGGCGGGAACTTTCCACCCCCGGGCGGAGCTCAAACGACACTACACCTGGCACCTGACCTGACATTACAGATATCCTATCGGCTGCTTATTGACGGAGTGGCTCTCGGAGAAAATTGCTGCCAATAGAGGAGACCGGCGAGTGTGAAGGCTAGGTCGGTGTCAGGGAAATGCCGCCGTATATGTCAGGTGTATGTCACACCGGGCGGCTTCTGACGGCGAGCTGCCCCGGCGCGCCTCGATGTGGGTCAGCCGCCCCCGCCCCCGCCCAGATGAGGAAGACCGCCAAAGGGCGGACGGATGGTCGCGGTTTCCGTGCCTCTCGAGCAGCGTCCGCCCCGCCTCCGTAGGTCGGTGTTGCCCCCGCTGCGGCGTCAATAGCACTGCAAACCACACGATCAATCGGGAGCCATGTTGGGCTATGTTTATTTTCATGTACATATTTGTTCTAATCTTATTAGTATAGGTATGCATTTGCTCATACAATTTTGTCATTGTTTATTCATATTCACTAATGTGTTCATTATCATAGCACATGTAAATGCTTTGAATTAGGATACCGCCTAGGCTTATCTAACCTTTAATCGGCCAGTTATGGGATGCTAATATTATAAACGTAGATACGTGGGCGGTGGGAAAATATCGGGAGTTATGTTATGTCGCCTTCATGCTTTATAGCTAGTTCACGAGCTAATGCATTTTTTCGAAATGCCTTATATTCGCCAGTCGCAGTTGAATTCTGGAACTGTTTATTTGGCTCGTGAAAGTACATATAGGGTAGGGTTGGGTAATTTGAACAGGTGGGGCAATTTGAACATAGTATGAATAACACAAAATTACGGAAAATCCATAGGTGGGTTTTCCAATAACAATAAGACCAATGAGGGAAATTATCGTAAGTAAAAGGGCTATAAAGCCGTTTTCACGACGGCCATCTGGTACACATTTGGTGCACATCTGGTACAGATTAGGCGCAGATTTGGCCAAGTCAGGTTCAGTGTGTCTCTTAGCAGCTATCAGCTAGGGTTGCACTTATTGCTTATATGCCTGTTTTGTCATAGTATCAATGAGCATCATCGATTAAAACACTGAAATAAATACATAAAATGAAGATATTTACTTTAAAAGAGATTAGGTGCAGATTTGGTCAAATTTGGTGCATTCGCCGGAAAGCCCGACGTGAAAACGGCTAATATGAACGGGGTTTAAAGTTTCAGGGAATGAAAATGTCGCACACTGTAATAAATAAATTTCGCAAGTAGAAACGCCCAACCTCATATTAAATTCCGAATGGTAGGTAATTGAAATGCAAAATTCTATTAAAACAAATCTTTGAAAAATATCTACCTATATTTGGTCTATGGGACTTCTTCAGGGTAAAAAATGTTTGTAATGTAATTTTACTAGCCGAAAAGTGTTCATTATAGGTACCTAGGTTACGTTACCAGGTGGTGGTGCCTCGATTTAAGCATCAGCTTTTGCACCACCACCTGGACTATTTGCTTATTTCCATTTTATGTTTAAGGCCGCCTCACACTGGACCTCGCATGCGGGTTGCGAGTTTGCGGGTTTTGAGTTTGCGGGCATAATACTAATTCATAGAGTGATTAGACCGTTCTTTATGGCAACTTCATGAATGCAGTGAAGCCGGTACACCTTCAGAAAATTACACATAGTCGCAATACCAGCGCAACGAACCAAAATTCGGCTCCAACGAAAAACCCGCAAACCTCGCAGAACTCGCAGACCTCGCAGCGAGGAAAATCGAAAGTTGACTCAAAATCAACTATTGGAATGCGATGCATGAGGTCGCTCGCAAGCTAAAAACATATACAGACTCGCCTGTTAGATGGTAGTGTGGGTCACTCAGCTTAGATTGTATGATTTGAGCTTGAATAAACCCGAAAACCCAAAAACTCGCAACCCGCATGCGAGTTCCAGTGTGGGGCGACCTTTAATAAATGTGTTTTGTTTGTTTGTTGTAGGTAGGTATTGAGAACAACTAAGCTTTCCATTCGCCAATCAATGCTATGCACGATTACCTAGTTCATAAAAATGCTGAAGTGTATAGCAAGCCATCGTCCAATGCTGTCCAGTCTGCTACCTTTGTCCAACTGATTCCGAATTGGACATTGGACAAAATCGGAACTCCGAATGTTCAGGTTGCGATTGGCACCACTGTAACAGATAAATAAGGTTGGGAGAGTTTTTATGGAACGGAAATGATAGACTATATATTAAACTGCGTGTAGGTACCTATAGCAAATCTTTTAAACGTTGAGCCGATGGGCGAGACGTTTAAAATATTTTTTCTACCTACGAGTGGTTTAATAGTTTTATCCCGTACCACCGATGACCGATAGCTTTCGGGCGCTCAAAGGTAAATATAAAAGTACGACAAATTTCAGACTAGACAAAATGTCGACGTTTAACAGTCTGTTAATCGTCTAGACTTTAAGAAATCAGTTACACGACATCTGATAATTTTATCTCGTTACATGTAAAGCAATTGTAAACATTGTCTACGGTGCGGGATAACTTCACGAGAGGCGACTTCTGTCAACGGACCGGTGTGCAGCGTGCAGATATATGATACTCTGCAACTGTTATTTTTGTTATGTTGATTTTTTAAAATGAAGGTATGTTTAGAATTGTTCGGCCTTTTTGTTTATGCATGAGACAACATCGGTGCTCGCGAGGTTATTGTTTTTTGTTTTTGTTTTTTTGGCACGTAAAGGCAGTATGTTCAAATTACTCCACGTTGGGGCAGTTTGATCACACCTTGACTTGATGGAGAAATGAGGCTATTCTATTCAAGGTATGCTCAGTTCGTCCAAAGATGACGCTTTCATGGTGAAATCAAGTGACATTTGCGCTACTGAAACAATTTTTCTTCATCCAAGGTTGAGCTGGAATTTGGTAGGACGGAGAAGGCATAAAAATATGCCAAATTACCCCACCCTACCCCACCAAGTCCAAAAAAAGCTCTTCCCTTTCACTCGTTTTGTTGAACAATGTGGGTTTGAGTCTGTGGCTGAAAAAAAACAAAGTTGTAGAGTGTAGATCTTCATGCACTTTTCCACACTCCAGAACAGGGCTGCGGAGTCGGAGTTGAAGTCGGTCGGAGTCGACTGTTCTGCCCGTAGTCGGAGTCGGAGTCGGATTCGCTAAAATCTTACGGACTCCGTCTCCGGAGTCGGAGTTAACGCTGCCTAGCTCAACGTCATGCACTGCACCTATTTGATTGACGATACTGTGCTCGAAATTAGATTTTGTCGAAAAAAGGCCATTTTGCTGTTTTGGACGAACGTTGTCAGCGAGAGAAGCTGAAGACGGTGAATTCCCAAGAACCTGCTTTTTAATTCTGCATTTTATTTTTAACGCAAAGCCTTGGGGCTTGGAACGCACAGGGGATCGTTTCAGGCAAGATAAAAATGTATCCATTATGAACTTCAATATCATGGTATGGTTTAAATGGAACCGTCCGGAGTCGGAGTCGGAGTTGGAGTCGGAGTCGGGGTCGATTTTTGAAGCCGGAGTCGGAGTCGGAGTCGGAGTAACCCTAAAATTCATCGACTCCGCACTGCAGCCCTGCTCCAGAGGCTGCCCCACACCACATGTTCAGGTCCAGAGCAGATGCCTTGGCTAATTGCCAGCTAGTAACTTCCCCCTACCCCGACTAGGGCTGTAGCCCGTCGGGAGCAAAATTCAAAAAAAAAAAAATCGGACAAGGCTCGGAGAAGGATGTCCTGCGGAAAAGCTCCGGCTTCTAGGTGGCAGCACCTGCATCCGAATAGATGGCAGCACACCATTGACGAGCCAAATAATTTCGTTTACCATGAGTACGAGCCTGAAGGCCTAGAAGTGGACGCCTTGACCTTGTGGGCGCCCTTCACCGCTAGTTCAGCACTCTGAAATTGAAAGATAGTCGAAAAATGATCCATCACCAAATCATGTCAGTCAAATTCTGCAACAATGCATTCTCATCCTGGCAAAATATTTTAATTTAGCTGCTTCGCTGTCAAAACAGCGCATGAAAGACAAAAGATACTAATTGTTGTGGAACCATGTTGTTATGTCGTTGAGGTAAGCCAGTTTTATTCATGCAACTAATTTGTGTTGCAGAAACAGTTCAATCAGCTGTTCGTACTCAAGGCCGCGTTTCTATTCTCTCTTGTGTTTATTCGCGTTTCCCCTCTGTTTTCAGCGCGGATGCAGGACAAAGGCCTCGAGGTAGATTAATAAGTTTTTTTCTCGCGATTTTCACTTCCCATGCATTTAGTTCAAACTGAAACGGTCTATTGAGTAAAACTGAAGCTGAAATCCACACAACTTTTCAAGGATAAATTTTACTCCTTTCTATGCTTTATAACGTCCTAAATTGAAATCCATTTTTCTGTAGTAAATATGATTTAATGATATTGTGTGGATTATATCTATTTGGTGAAGTAGGTATCTGTCATAAGCGTTCTTATCCTGTGTTCCATATGAAAGAAAATAGTTAATATGATCAAAAGCAAAGGATGATCAAAGGATCAAAAGCAAGCTTTGTTGTGGTGCCCCACCTTTAACATGGGGTTTGAGTTTAGATAGCCAAGTTTGCGGCGAGGTTCAGAAACCACTATCTATCTAGGTTGCAACCCCCGCGGCCTCTTGGTGTTGAAGAAATTCGTTCCCTTCATTTGAAAATGGGCCTTGTACAGTCTGTCTTAAAAGTACCGCGCAAAGTGACGGTGGATCCATCGAGCCTGACTGAGCAAGGGCCTGCTAAATTTGGGTCACTGAAGCAACTGACATCCTTATCCATTCCCTAGGTCAATTGGTCGGTGACTTTTAAATTAAAACAGGCCCTTTCTCGGTCAGGCTTGATGGATCCACCGCCACTTTGCGCGGTACTTTTAAGACAGACTGTACAAGGCCCTATCTTCAACATGGAGCGACCGTTAGTGTGACGTCACCTCGTTTAGTCATTCTGATTTAAATGGGTTTGTTCGTTGAAAAATCGCTTAAAACTTGGTCTGAACTTTGTTGTGGTGCCTACAGAGTAAAAAGAATCAGCTTTATGACAGTAATGTGGCCTGGGGAAGGAGGTAATTTTGGGCTGTGACGTCACATATTTGAAAGTTTGTGTTTGGAATATGGGAAGCCTAAGATGTTTAATGAAAAATAAATGCCAGAACCGTGTTCCTGGTCATCCAATCTATAAAGTCGGGCACAATTTAACTGGTTTTAACAACATTTTAGAAGGTGGGATAGTCCCTTTAATGGTGTCCTTAATGGAATCATTCCTACAGGGTGTAGTGGGGTATCGGTAACCCTGGCGTTACCGGTAGTGCAATAGGTACCTAGTTGTAGTGGGGAATCGGTTACCCTGGCGTGGCGTTACCGGTAGTGTTCTGTGCAAGGCTAAGGTTTCCTGTATTAGGCTGCCGTGCCAAGCCGAAGCATGCTGTGACGTCACTGGGTAAGAGATGATACCGTACCACGCTATCAGTATCGACCGACTCAGAACGAGTCAAACTGACTCAGACCGACTCAACCGACTTAAATTGATTCCGATTGACTCGGATAGACTCAAAACGACTCAGGCAGACTCAAGGTGACTCGACCGACTCAAACCGACTTAGATCGACTCAGACTGACTCAAACTAACTCAGACCGACTCAACCGACTCAAATCGATTCCGATCGACTCAAATCGATTCTGATCAACTCAGTCAGACTCAGAACGACTCAAACTGATTCAGGCAGACTCAAACCGACTCAGGCAGACTCAGACTGATTCAGATCGATTCAGGCCGACTCAGATAGACTCAGAATGACACAAACTGACTCAGACCGACTCAACCGACTCAAATCGATTCCGATCGACTCAGTAAGACTCAGAACTATTCAAACCGACTCAGGCAGACTCAAACTGACTCGACCAACTCAAACCGATTCAGGTCGACTCAGACAGACTCAGATAGACTCAGAACGACTCAAAATGACTCAGACCGACTCAACTAACTCAAATCGATTCCGATCGACTCAGACAGACTCAGAACGACCAAAACCGACTCAGACAGACTCTCACTGACTCGACCGACTCAAACCGATTCAGATCGACTCAGGCAGACTCATCTCGATTCCGATCGACTCAGACAGACTCGGAACGACTCAGGCAGACTCATACCGACTCAGGCACACTCAAACTGACTCGACCGACTCAAACCAATTCATATCGACTCAATCCGACTCAGCTAGACTCAGAACGACTCAACCTGACTCAGACCGAATCAACCGACTCAACTCGATTCCGATCGACTCATACAGACTCAAAATGACTCAGACTCAGGCAGAGTGCAGACTCAGTCAGACTCTAACCGACTCAACCGACTCAAACTGATTTAGACCGACTCAGACAGACCCAGCGGTGACCTGAATCATCAGACCTGAATCGGTTTGAGTCGGTCGAGTCAGTTTGAGTGTGCCGGGTCGGTTTGACTCTGCATGAGTCTGTCTGAGTCTGCCTGAGTCTGTCTGAGTCGATCGGAATCAATTTGAGTCGGTTGAGTCGGTCTGAGTCAGTTTGAGTCGTTCTGAGTCTATCTGAGTCGGTCTGAGTCTGACTGCGTCGGTTTGAGTCTGCCTGAGTTGGTTTGAGTCTGCCTGAGTCTCTCTGAGTCGTTCTGAATCTGTTTGAGTCAATCGGAACGATTTAGTCGTTCTTAGTCAGTTTCAGTCGTTCTGAGTTTTCTGAGTCGGTCTGAGTCGATCTGAATCGGTCTGAGTCTGCCTGAGTCTGTTTGAGTCGTTCTGAGTCTGTCTGATTCGATTAGAATCTATTTGAGTCAGTTGAGTGGTTGAATAGGTCTGACTTAGTTTGAGTCGGTCTGATTCGATCTGAATGGGTTTGAGTCGGTCGAGTCAGTTTGAGCCTGCCTGAGTCGTTCTGAGTCTGTCCGAGTCGATCGGAATCAATTTAACCCTCGCATGTGTAGGGGGGGGGGGGTCGGATGGACCCCCCCCATGGTTTTTCGCAAATAACTCGCGTAAAAAGCGGCCGATCGCGACGAAACTTTCAGTACCCTCACATTGATCAATTTTACACCTACCCTGAAAATTTCATGACCCTGACCCCAATGACCTTTGACCTGTGACCTCTTTTCCGAGACCATGTTTGGCCGGAATCGCGATTCTGCGTATGTCGGCTCGCATTAGCCGCGCGTTTGCAAGCTTTTCGTGGTTTCAAACGTTCAAACATGTGATTTGATGTTGCTTCCATGCATTAGGGTGGGTGTCAAGGTCACCTGAAGGTCAGGTCAGGTCATTGACCTTTGGTGACCTCAGGTGACCTCGGTTCACTTTTTCGAGCTGTACATGTTTCTAGGCTAGTTTTTGGAGCTGAATTCGAATTTAGCAACCATTTGAACATTTACGAAGTAGTTTTGGTGCCTTCGTAACATGTTACGAAGCTGTCAGATGCGGTTGACACGTACTACGAATACCCGTCACGACGCCTACTGGTTGACCTGACCTGACCTGGTCTAAATGCTTAAAGACATCATCTGTGATCAAAACTAACACGATATTCGTGATCAGCACCCCGAAAAATCCCTTAGCAGCCACGCTTTACGACTTTCTAACAGGTCCCGATTTTCCCGACTTTGGGTCATTGACCTGACCTGGAAGGTCAACCAATGACCTAGGACCTTAAAATTGGGTATCATCGGCTTCCTCTCGTCACGGGCAACACGCTCGTTTTTTCCGCGAAGCTCTAGCTCGATCAGGGGCCAAACGGCAAGGGGGGTCCAACCGACCCCCCCCCCCCCCCTACACATTAGAAGCTGGCAAACGCCGCACACATGCGAGGGTTAAGTCGGTTGAGTCGGTCTGAGTCAATTTGAGTCGTTCTGAGTCGGACTGAGTCGATCTGAATCGGTTTGAGTCGGTCGAGTCAGTTTGAGTCTGCCTGAGTCGGTCTGAGTCTATCTGAGTCTCAGTCGATACTGATAGCGTGGTAAGTTATCTTCTCCTACCCAGTGACGTCACCGCATGTTTCGGCTTGGCACGGCGGCCTAATACAGGAAACCTTAACTTTGAACGAAAACGCTACCTACCGGTGACGCCAGGGTTACCAAAACCGTGTAGTGGTAGGTAATGAAATTATCAGGACATCTATTTTTTGTCATATCTGCTCACCCAGTTTCTTTTCTGATATGCAGGAAATTTGGATGAATGTGTGCCTGTTGAAAGGTCATTTTGAAAATTTGACCTCGGATCAAGGTATGGCCTGGCCGGAAAAGGTCATGCTGTCGATTTGTATCATCAACCTGAACACATTGAATTTGTTTTCATCGCTCTAGCGTGTCTCTATTAACAGGTATTGCATAAAAACTGCTGGGACCCTTTCATGACATGGTATGACCTCAGGGACATAAGGTGGGTCACGGGTGCAATTCTTCGGTTCAGCGTGTCAATTTTACCTGTAACCCGATGTTTGAGTGTTTTTTTTTTTACATTTGTTCGGACCTCTCTCCAACGAGCATAGTCCTTAATTACAGGAGAGAGAGCACCTGCTCCTCCTCGTCGTCCTATCCCCAACCGCCAGGCTACGGCTGAAGTGGGAGCCTACCCCACACTGGTGACGCAGCCGGGGACGACGCCCGCGGAACGGGTGGAATCGGGAATCGAACCCGAAATCCGGCACTGCCCGTACCGCGGGAAGAATGACGTTTGTTCAATAGAAGCTCCTTTGAATTTCCTCCCATGGACTTATAAAGGAGAGGGTGCAAGATTGACCCAACCTTAGGTCACCGATGTCAAAATTCCGAGATATACATTTGATAGATACTGTTACTCGGTACTGTTATCGCGATCAATCGCTGAAGGTTTCAAGACGATCGTTTTAGTCTGTTAAGCTATGAAGAGCATTCAATTTTCCTGAGGTGAGGTCACTTGAAGTGACCTGGTGACCTGACCTTTAGCGATCTGGGTCTAAAATTTGCACAACATGTGCGGAAAAGACGCATGAGCAGGTGTACCATAAACGGCGGCGATCTGCGAAAACCACAGGGGATGGGATTGGGGTGTCTGAACACCCCCATGATATTTTGCAACAGCTGACAACAGGTTGACAATAGACCGTGCAGCTCAACTGAGATCATGGCAAGATTACCATTAGTTGGCGTAGGTGGAAAATAGTCAATGAGCTTAACTTAAGTTTCAATATTTTCAACATTTTCATTCGTTTCGTTAGCATTTAGGTTATGGTGTCATCACAAAAATAATGCTCTGTGAGACTGTGACTCATCCATCTAGTAATGCAACTACATTTTCATTAGACTCTGGACGCTCCTTGACCGTTGCATTTTACCTAGATAATGCCTGATGCTACCAAGTCCAAGAAGAAGAAGAGTGGAGGAAGTGCAAAGAGTGATGGGTCATCACCGGGTCGACAGGGCACTGCCCCAGCAACTCCGGTTAAAAGTAAGAATATGTTCCATCAAGAACATTGTGAAACTGAGACATAGCTTGGATAATGCATTTTTCTTTTCTTTTTTAATGACGAATTGTATGCTGTTACCAACCAAAGGTTGTTGTCATCCAATATTGCATCATTTTAAGTGCTTAGTTTAAATCGTTTTTGTTCTATCATTCTGCAGTTATGTCCTGCGTGGCCTTTCCATCTCTAGCTCTAGCTGTGAGCGCTCTGACCGTGTTGTCCTGCGCGGCCCGCAGAAGCGCTGCCGGCCGTGACGCACGAGTGGCGTGACGCCGGCAGCGAGGTGCGCGTCACGCTGGTGACGGGCCCGCTGGCCGGCGCCGGCCGCGTGCAGCTGGACTGCTCGGAGCGCCGGGTTCAGGTCCGGCTGCCGGACGGGCGCACCTGGTCCAGTCGGCTGTTCGCGGCCGTGCTGCCGGACGGATCGGAGCACCAGCAGCGGCCCGGCGGACGGATCCTGGTCAAACTTCTCAAACACGACCCCAGCCTCACCTGGCCCAGCCTCGAGGTGAGTCACATGCCCGAGAATCTATCCTGAGCAGTCTCACAGTAGGCCAATCTGTTACCCAGGGGCCAGGAGGATGAGACATTGATGTTTTTCCTAAGTCAAGGGCTTGTATGTTTATTCTTAATTAACCATGTGAGCTTTGTTAGGCTCAGATTCAGAAGCTATGTTAAAACGACTTTTTAAAGTTTTCAGAGCCCCCGACTTGATCGGTCGATCGATCTGTCGCCTGATAAGGAGTTCCGAGTAGACCACAAAATATAAGTCGACCTAATCAAGACCCAATAACCTGCACGAAAAAACTTTACCACGGAACTTTGACTTTCTCGCTCACCGGGCTCATCTGATCTGCCATTTTTCAGCCGATGAAGATACCTCGTGTGAAGTCATCACCTCCTACCAAAGAGACACCTCCTACCAAGGAGATGAAGGAAAAGACTAACACCGAAAAGATCGAGGAGACTGCCGGCCGCACCTCGGAGCGGCCGGGCTCTCCGGCCCCTAACGGTGCCCTGCCGGGGCCGAGTGACGCCCCACCGGGGCCAGATGACGCCCCGCTGGGGCCGGACGGCAAACCAGGAGCGTCGCCCCCACCCCCCGCTGTCGTGGAGCCCGTGCTCCTGGATAACCTGAAGCATGACACGTTCGAGACAGACGCCGATATCCGTGTCTCGGTCTACCTCAGACATATCAAGAAAGAAACGCTCGCCATCAGTTACGACTCAGACAGCTTCAGCATGGTTTTCGGCACCAGGTGAGCTTGCTAATCTCCGCTTTCGCTGTCAGGGAAAGAGGCCCTTCTGCTAGTTCTCGGTGGTCAATGAATATTTCTACACTTTAGTTCGGTCTCGCCATAAGTATTATAGTAGGGTACTGTTATCCATGTCTTCGGCATTTTATGTATCCCTACCAGTATTTTTTCGATGATAACATAATATTCTGTGGTCATTTGTGTGTGTGGGAGGGGGAGGGGAAGAGGGGGCCTGCACCTGATGACCTCCGTGCTCAAGAGTCAAAACTAAAAGCAAGCATATCCATTATTTACGGATACAGGCGGCCGTGGATTTGGTTTCATTTAGTTGAATTGCATGCATATCCCTTCTCTTATCGGTGCGCCGTCAGCTGTCACCGATTGCCGTTTTATCGGACTGTTTCGTATTTCGGCACACGAGTTTCCGGCCACAAGAGGTTGCCTCTGGTGCAACATGGGCCAGGCATTAGTATCAGACGCTATTTATAGTTACGAGTGGTATAGAATTACGTAAAATGCATAGGTCGTGGTGAAGCGGTAAAGAACTCTCGGTGCTGCGTTGGTTAGCGGATAGACAAAAGGGATCACTGATCAGTGGGCAAAGGGTCAGATGAGACTTTAGGAGCCTGAAGTAACCAAATTACCTGCAAAATTAAGGCGGGCTGCTCAGATCAAGCGGGCAGGTTATTGAACGCCATTTGGGTCAATGCGTAAGAAGGTAGGGAAAAGGGTTTGCGGTGGAATTAACCCGCGCACCGACGGGGGGGGGGTGGTTGGTTATCCGCCCCCCCCCCCCTGAGGTTTTTCGTGAATAGCGGGAAGCGCCGCTAAATTTAGCATGACTATTCTCTCATAAATTTTACACATGGTGTGCAAGTTTGAACCTCCTAACTTTTAAGGTCAGGTCACCAAGTCACTTTGAATGACCCAACCTCAAGTCACTTTTTGCACTTTGCCACAGTGTCAACTGTCAGAGCTACATTAGATGACGGAGGCCTTTGAAAGTCGCAGGATGTTATTAGGTCATTGGTAGCTGCACTTGTTATAACTCGGAATTTCGATATCGATGACCTAAGGTCAGGTCAATTTCTCGACCTCCGCATTTTAAGTCAATGGGGGAAAATCAACTCCCTGTTTTTTCCACTAAAACGCGTCGAAATGGCCCCATATACCATCCATGACTTAACATACGATCAACCTTCACTACCTTGAGGCCTGTTTTGCTGTTGACCAGCTGTAAGGTCATGTGACGTCATCAAAGGTCACCAACGGTTTTTTTGCCAATAACTCCTTACAGGAACGAGATACAGCCGCGCGGATGGTCTCATTGTGTTCAGCTCGTCAAGGCGCATCGAATGATATACATGATGATTGATGACCTCGAGGTCACGTGACCTGAGGTCAACCTTTGACCTTAACCTTTCGACGTCAACATATATATGGTTCGATGCGGATTGATGAGGGGATCACGCTGATGCCCTTAGTTTGTTTCTATCTCGACTAGTTCGAAAGTTATTCGAGAAAAACTCCATATCTAGCGCCGCCATTTTGACTTTTATGATCCCTGTGACGTCATCTTTGACCTGACCTGAAAATGACCTTCGTAAAAATTGTAGACCTTGTCCGTGCGTACCCCATGCCGTTTACCGCTTGTCGCTATCTTGCTTCGTTCTCGAGATCTCGGGGGGGGGGGCGGTCATCCCCCCGTCGGTTGTAAGTTGGCGCAGACCCCCGTCGGTTGCGTGTTGACTTTTGTATCCTATTGGAAACAGTCCGTTTTGCATTTCTCTATTGTACGTATTTTCAAGCTATGTGTTTGTGTTTGTCCGGTGTTTTTTATTAGCTTTCCTGAGTTGGCATTTTGCGGCACTTTTCAAAGTTTTTGAATGTTTGTTATGCGACAGATTAACTTTCTATCAATGGGCATTACAAATCTCTAAGATGGCTACGATGGGCAAAAACGTTCAGTAAGCCCCTGAAGGTAACTTCGGGTCATTTTTTCAGAACATTCTTTGAAATCGCGTGCGGCGAATCGGATGGTGTCATTTTCATCTTGATCTGCCCTGTAGCTGCTTAGTTAGATGGCTACATTATGGGGTAAATGCTCCTCTCGCAACGCCTGAAATCTTTTCTTGTCGAAATCTTGTCGTTTCTTGTTGAAATCTTGTCGTCTTTTTCTAGAATAGAAAGAAAACTGAAAAACTTTTCTTGAAAGCGTTTGTTTTAAACTGCACAGAATTGCATAAGGAATCAAAACCCTAGAAGGGTCTGGAGTTTAAATTTTTGGGTGATGACCCCCTCCTACCTCCCCCTCCAGCGTCCAGGACCGCCTTTCTGGAATGGATCGCCTATGATGGCTGCGGTAGGCGAAAACTAAAGTTGATCTTTCAAGGTCATCGAGGTGATCTGAGCCCTGTGGTTGCTTCTATCTCCACGGGTCATAAAATTAGATGCGATGAATCGGACGGCGTTAGTTTCATTTCGATCAGTTTGGTAATTCCTGGGTTTTAGGATGGCTTAAATTGACTGTGTTTTTGTATTTAAACCCGTTCGCGATGTTTTACGGTGTTTTTATATTTCGAGGGATTTCTTTCACGAAGACGGTTTCATCACGAAACTCCTCTTCATCTTATAATATGTGAAAATTTCCAGCGTTCACACGAATGTGCGCGGCGTAGACGTTTCGATCGGAGGCTGAGTATGATTTGCTTGTCGTGTATCAACGAACGCTGTTACGAATCCTGCGCATGTGATACGTTCCCGACGTTGCCATTGTTTGGGGGCTGGCAATGTTGTCGGTGGCGGGTGACTGGTGTGGTGAAATGTGGATGAATTGAATCATCCATTCTCTATTTTTGTTCAAATTAAGGCTTTAACTCATCAGAAGGACGCTGAAAATGCTGACGCCAAGATTCACCGTGTCTCAAGAGGAGGATGTCGTCATTATAGAAATTGAAGCACCTTTTGCCCATGTGAAGGATACTGAGGTTTTTATGGAGGGGAACTTGTTCACTTTCCACTCATCGCCTTACTACCTGAGGCTCCACTTTTCTGGATGCATTGTTGAAAATGAGAAAGCATCTGCCAAATTTGTTGCTGATAAAAGGGGTTTTGTTGTTCATGCTCCGAAAGTCAACAGTGGAGAACACTTTGAAAATTTGGACATGTTGACTTCGCTGCTTTTGCCAAAGGGAGAAAGAAATGTTCATAAGAACATTGAGGAGATATATGCTGAAGTGGAAAATGATGAAGACGATGTTGGAACAGATATTGATTGGTTTGTGTCCCAAGAAATGCCTGGCGAGGATGTAGTTTCATGCGGATCAAGATATGGATTCGCGAACAAGCACCTGGGAGTGTTCACACACCTTCAGTCAGAGCTAAGTGAAGTTGTTGATGTTCAAGACCCAGATAACAAAAGTGCAGTGCAGAGATCAGCAGAGAGGAAAAGCCAAGAGCAAAAGGACTTTGATGATAACCATTACCTTGCTGATATGTTCGAAGAAGATGAATCGCTAGCTCATGTGTTTGACATGAAATCTCCAGCACTGTTTGGTCAAAATGACCTGGACCAGGAGCAAAAGGATCTGATGCTAAACTTGAAGCCAAAGTTCTTCAAACTGGGCCCATCAGAAATGAGAGAAGCTGGACTAGCTCTTGTTGATGTGATGTTTGCTTTCTGCTATGATCGAAGGACTACAGGAGGTGATGGGAGCGTTGAATCAGGCTGGTGCATCAGCAAGCTGAGCTCCAGTCTTTCCTGGCTGGAGAGACACACAAGTCTCAAAGAAACAGTGGTAACATGTATGAGAAGAAGCCTGTGCTACCCACTATACAGGAACTGGAGGCTATCCTGCCAGGTCCTTGATGATCTGCGCTGGCTGTTCCGGGCAGGCAGAAAGCATCTGGTGAAAGCACTGCTGCAGGTCCATCAGATGCTGCTGGAGAGTGAGCCACGCTACATCCTCAACCAGCTGTACATAGACGACATGTGCATGTGGCTGCAGCAGGTGGACGAGCCGGTCATCTCTGGCCTGTCCGACGCTCTGCAGGCCCTGACTGTGACAAAGGAGGATGTCGGCCTGGACCTGGTGGAGCTGGAGGCTGCAGCAGGCCTGGTGCTAGCTGAAACACAGTCACAGCAGAAGGACCTGGCTGATACAATGGGTGGCCTGGCTCTGGATAGTGATGACAGTGATGACAGTGAGGACAGTGAGAGCAGCTCTGACAGTGATGATGACAGCAGCAGCAGTGACAGTGAAGAGACTGATAGTGAGGAGGACACTGATACAGACAGTGAAGATGACACTAAGTCAAAGGGTGAACATGGAACCAGTGCCAGGAGTGAACATGGTGATGACATGAAGGGTGGACATGGTGATGCCAACAGTGAAAACGAAACTGATGGTAAAGGTGAATGTATCTCTGGCGATGACAGGTGATGCGTGATAGCTGGAAAGGGTGTAATGAGGTGTTAATTCATTGTAAGACTAGGTCATAGATATACATCTAGTTCTACATCTAGTAGAAAAAGCTGACATTTCGAAAAGCTTTGGTGTTGTGGAGTGTGTCGGTCTGTCGTTGGTGTGATGAGTATTGAGCGCGGAGAATAGTTCGTATGGATATTTTGTGGTCATATGTCGGCGATCATCATATCCATAGTCGTTTGTGAAGCATTTTGTCCCTTTTATGAATGTTTGCGCTATGTTTGCGATGTCCTATTTTGCCTTTATATGTGAGTTCTTGCGGTACGTCCGGGCCGATGCCGAATCGGTTCGAAGCCAAGGATCGTGTTTGATGTGCAGTGCACGCCATACCTGGAGAATCACTTCAAACTGGTATACAATACAGTGAACAATCCAGTGCATACCTACTACCTACTACACACTGGGGAACTGCTTCCTTAGACTTCCGATCACTTTGATCTCTGATTCCGTGAAATCGATGGGTCAGCAAATTACTGACTCTTCGTATATTTGATATTCTCTTTATAGGGAGATAATAAGTTTCACCTTCATAGTTCATAGCTAGTTCCCTCAATGAATCATCGTTGAGCACATCACAAGTATCTAAGTTCTCATTGGCTGAATACCGCTGAGAGCGGATAGGCGTTGGAGGGTGGACGGTGGTGATTATTTATGCCTAGCAGTGCACATATTAGGTATTAAGTAAGACCTTGAGGTCCATTTCTAATGCACATCGAGTATGGCGCCGACCGAGGGCTAGTTGACAGCCTCCTGGTAGGATGACTAGGTAGGATGATACGCAGACGGCGTCCCGAATCACTGCACCAGACTGGGTAGATTTATGTCTTTTCCCCGACGGAGGGAGGAGGGGCGGCATAGCTCCGTCGAGGGGACATCTAGAGAGATGAAGTGTAGATATTGCATGACTGCAGCAATTTCTACATTACCAGAATCGCTGTCGATATTACTACGGAGCTAAGAAACCCTGCCGACCAACTGGTGTAAGTACACCGCACATGATAGCACCGTGGCCGCCGGCTCCTGGCGGCGTTGTTTCTTTGTCAGAGCGCCAGTTCTCCACCCCTCTTCTGTGACAGTAACTGCCGATTCCTCACAGCTCTGCGTCTTTGTCCAATCTACCAGTCCCGTATCGCAATGTCCGCCGATTCCTGAGTCTGTCTTGCCCCGCGTTCGATGTCTCTCGGACGGCGAAGATTCTACGTAGTCCGGCCAATCCCGTTCAAGGTCAGCGGGGACTCGGCTGCGGTTCTGGAACTTGATTCTTTGTCGTCCGAGAGACATCGAACGCGGGGTTAATCTCCCTCTCCCCGTCACAGGGACCGGCGCTGTCTGATTCCGCTCTCCGAATCTACTCTCCTACCCGGCCTCTTCCCCTGTGTAACTTCGCCTGCGTTCCCCCTCTAGTTTTCATCCCTTCCCCCTCTCTCCTGTGTAACAGCGACCGCCGGCTCCTGGCTCCACTGTCTGTCTAGTTTCCATCCCTTCCCCCTCTCTCCTCCACAGCGACCGCCGGCTTCTGGCTCCACTGTCTGTGTCTAGTTTTCATCCCCTCCCCCTCTCCCCCTCTGTGACAGCGACCGCCGGCTCCTGGCTCCGCTATACTTGTCTAATTTCCATTCGCTCCCTCCCATTTGACAGTGACCGCCGGTTTCTGGCGGCTCGCGGCCAGCTGGACGAGTGCTTCCTGTTCCGCTGGACGGTGCCGCTCAAGGGCCGCGTGCTGCCAGATCTGTGCTGCCATAAGGTGACCAACTCTGCAGTGGAACTCCGTCTGGTGAAGGCTATACCGGGCCGATGGAACGCGCTACGGCCGCCGGCGCCGCCGCCCGCGCCAGGTCAGTGAGGGTGATGGGGGGAAGGAGAGGGTGGGACACGATTCCCGGGGCCTCAGCGGACCAAATGGTCGCCCCGTCAGTCAGAAGTATCTTAATTTCTCTATCTCTTTCTCCTTTGTTCGCATTACACAGAGCCTATCGACTGACCTCTTATTTACCCTCTTGCGTGTTTTTTTATCTTGATCTATTGCTGCTCGGAGACATGTGGTTTTACAAGCTACAGATCATCAAGGCTGCCATTGTCGCAGTTTATCACTCGTATGTAACCCCATGTATTTTTTGTGTCTGTCTCTGGCTGCTCTGGTGGGTCGTACATTACTCCGTCACGGCCGCTGGGTTCCTGTCCCCGTGACCTAGGGATTACCGGTACTTTCTGACCTTGACATGTCCCCCACTGGGGGTTTACCATACCGCCTACCGCGTGCACTGCAGGCCGCGCCTGCACCCTTGCTCCTGCTCCGCCGTATATCCTGCTTTGCAACTGCTCGGTTGCTTTGCCCTCACTGATATTGACTCTGGATGCCAAAAATGTTACCCCAGCTGACTAAGTATCAATATTAATGACCAATAGAAACTGCATAAATTTCAGAACCTGACGTGTAGCATCAATAATAATATCGCACCATATCAACACAGCTGTTCCCTAATGCTCTACTATCACGCTCGTTGCAGATAGAGCGATCGGTGCAGGAGCGGTTGGTTTGAACATTTGCCGTCCTGTGGGGAGGGGTGCTGTGATTCAGACGCACTCTGTGTGACCACTCATCCGTCATACTTTCCTGTATCCGTCTAGTCCCTTATCCTGCTTATCGACGACCGTAGCTCTAACGTCAGGCTGATATCTCCTGTCTGATTCACTCGACGGACCCCTCTCGCCGTGCCGAAACGTGGTGTCTCCGGGAGTCCCCTCCCGCCCGACCCCCCTCCCAGTGATAGTCCGTTGTTCGGTGACGCCAACTGTCGGGCCGTATCGGCCGAGCCGGCTCGGTCAGTTTGTCAGTTGAAGGAGTGCATTGGTCGGAGACGCATCCTGTGTTAGCTGACAGTACCTCCGAGCTGTGTTAGTGTGTCAGTGAGCTGTGCGGGGTTGTTAAAGACGTCTATTGGATGAGGAGTGACTGACTGTACGATGGTGTCGCCAGTGCCGGCCGCGGCCGCCGCGTCGCGTCGCTCGCCGTCGCGGCTCTCCGAGAGCGCTGCCGTGCCGGATCCTGCCGGCGGCGGCGACCGTCCCGACCCTCCAACCAAGGTGAGATCCATGAGCTAAAGTTGGTGGGGCAGAGGCGGTAGATGGGTCCTGTCTGAACGGCCGTTTTAACGTAGTCTGCTGTATGCATGTTGCTAAAGCCGACGAACTAGCAGATCGATTCTGATGGATTTTGTATTGTAATGACGACGTTCTGTAGTGGAGTGCCCTAGTAGAATTATACACTTATCGATGCTCTGATGTGACCCATGGCTACATTCTGACCCGTTACTCCCGCACAGCTCGTTCGGCCGCCGTCGCCGCTGCCCATCGCGCTGCCCCCGCCGCCGCCGCCGCCCGTCCTGGCACCCCTGGAGCGCGGCTTCACCGGTCTGGATAACATCGGCAACACGTGCTTCCTGAACTCGGTGATCCAGTGTCTGGCCAACACCCGCGAGCTGCGTGACTACTTCGCAGGTGCGTGATAAAGGTGGTGAACGACCTCTGCTCGAGATGGCTGATAACTATATTGGTAAGATGATAGCTGTATCGGGACATCAACAGCGAAATATAACTGTTCATAAGGCAAATTTACTTGGGGAATGGGCTGCCTGCTATGATATAATTACAGGCCAGCGGTGAACGAAAGATCACCCTGATAGTAACTACAAAAAAGAAATGGATGAAAGCTGATTATTTTATTTACGCCCAAGTAAAGTCAGATTTTAATCAAAACTAATAATGCCAGACGAGCGCAGTGTAGTTAACGATTTAACACTACCAACTAACCCACTTCCATGCTCTTACCTCTTTGTCTGCGTGTGCGGCAGACTCGCTGTTCCAGGCGGATATCAACCAGCACAACCCGCTGGGCATGAAGGGACAGCTGGCACTGGCGTTCGCCGTGCTGATGCGCGTGCTCTGGTCGGGCGAGCACCGCTCCTACAACCCGCACAAGCTGAAGGCGCTGGTGGCCAAGCGGTTCACCCAGTTCACCGGGTTCGCGCAGCATGACGCCCAGGAGTTCATGGCCTTCCTGCTGGACGGACTGCATGAGGTGAGAATGGGCTGCGGATGGAGGTGATCGGGCGGGAATATAGGAATTATATGTGACTGGGCGGGGCTGGAGGTGAAGGAGAGAGGATGTAGTGACCAAGGGAGGACTGCCGCGGTGGGGCGAAGGGGTGGTGTCTATGGAGGAAATTAGGATATTAGGATGTTTTACTGGCTTGGTCACTGGCCATTGGTCAGACGTGTTATTTTTCACATATCCTGGCGCCGAGATGCAGAGCATGTATTTTGTTAAGTATTTTGTCGAAAGACCCTTTGGAAGATGTGTTGAGGGCTTTAGGCAAGACCTGAAGGTTGCGCGGCCGAGTGAAGTTTTGGGATAGTTGCGACTGTCGGTGAGGAAGGTTTCGGTTCCGCGCGTCCTCTGTCACAACAGCTGATAGCATATCAGATGATGGAATCAAGTCAACAGATATGATAACTCGCCCCCGCAACGGCGCAACCGACTTTCCTGATGCAGCTTCTTTCGACAGCAGGGGCGCATAGTGACCCCGCTGATACGCGCCCGAAAGCCCCAACAAACAGCAACTAAATCTTTCGACACATGACATTTACCAATACTCTCGGGGTCTCTTTGTTTACGACATAGTTTCTTCGGTGGCGATACAATGCTTACACTGATACTTGTGTTATCTAAGACCTTCAGATCTCAGCCTTACCCATGGCCATGGCGTTTGCTATATTGTTGCTAGGACCCGTCCTGGCTCTTGCATTTCGTATATAATTGTACCAGCGATTTTCTAGAATGGTTATCCAAATAACTATGTCCATGCCACACTTTTTGCTACTAGCTCATAGACTGTTCAGTGTTAATTACTTTGCCTAACCCCGCATCCACTACTGTATTTCTCCGCAGGACCTGAACCGCGTGGTGGAGAAGCCGTACACCCAGACGGAGGAGGCGGGCGACCGTCCAGACGACGAGGTGGCGCGCGAGGCCTGGTACCGTTACCGACTCCGGGATGACTCGGTCATCGTCGACCTGTTCCAGGGACAGTACAAGTCCAAACTGGTCTGCCCCGACTGTGGAAAGGTACGGCGGCGTTCACAGGAGACTGGGATAGTACAGGGACTGCTGGGTGAGTGTGGGGTTCAGGGTTTGAGGCAGTGAGGCAGTTTAGAGATTGGATGAGAAGAACCTCTCCATCGTTTTGTGGCTCGGGTCCTGTACCACCGCCTTGACGGTTTCTGACCTTCCGGCTTCCATAGCGTCTTTAAACCACGTCAAACCATCCTCCCTCTCCACAGGTCTCAACGATGTTTGATCCGTGCCGTGCCTATATTTGTCGATCCCGCTGCCCAGTACCCTGTGCGTAACCCGTTCTCCCCTCTCTGTACAGGTGTCAGTGACATTCGACCCGTTCCTGTGCCTGTCGGTGCCGCTGCCCAATGTGTCTGACCCCCCCCCCCCTCTTCACAGGTGTCGGTGACGTTCGACCCGTTCCTGTACCTGTCGGTGCCGCTGCCGAAGAAGAAGCGACCCGTCTGCGTGACGTTCTTCAGGGCCGACCACACCGTCCGTCCGATCACTGTAAGACGAAGGAGGGGATGAAGGCCGCGAAGGATGGAAGAAGATGGCGAGGACGAGGAAAAGAGAGGAGATAAGAGGGTTAATTGCTTTCCGAGCTATGACTGACATACACCATTAATTGTGCTCTATTCTGCGTTTGTGCATGAGTGTTTTGTCCTAAGTCTCGAATGCTCCATCCGATATCTCTCAGTCGACTGTACGTGTCCGCGGACACTGTAGTGCGCGCGCCCCGTATGACACCTCCAGTACACTCTGCAGTCTGCAGTAAGTGTCGGTGGACACTGTGTATCTGTGTACGCGTCCCGTCTAATCTCTCTGTTCTCCCAGTCCCAGTATACCATGTACGTGTCCGCGAACACAAGTTGTGTGCGCGTCCCGTCTGAACTCTCTGGTGCTCTCCCAGTACACTCTGTACGTGTCCGCGGACACTGTGTAGGTGTGTACGCCCCCCCCCCCCCGTCTGACCTCTCCCGTGTTCTCCCAGTACACCCTGTACGTGTCGGCGGACGGGCTGGCCGATGAAATCATGGAAAAACTGGCGGAGAAGACGGGCGTTGCCTCCAGGCTCATCAAACTCATCGACGAACGCAAACACAAAGTTAGTATCGTCTCAGCCCTCCAGCCCTAATATTAGCGGGACTGGGAGTGCATCTGGATGGCGTGAATGCGTCGGGTGGCTCTACAGTTAAGGTTAGATAAGTATGGATAAGTTATTGCTATATTTTATGTTGATGTATGAGGTTCAATCAATCGTTATTTAAACTTTTCTATCATGCCGACCTTGCCAACAGGCTGATGGACCCGTGGCTGTCTCCCTTTAGCGTTGTTGCCGCATGGTACCCGGCGCCGGTAAGCTGACCCGTCTCCCTCCTTCCCACCAGGTACAGAAGGTGTACACGCGCGGTATGTCAGCGGGCACCATCGGGCGCGGCTCGCACCTGCTCGCCTTCGAACAGCTCGACCCGGCCCGCATCGGAGAGCCCGTCCTGGAGCTGCTCGTCATACAGGTATGACTTGGTGGGTGGATGCTGGATAGTATGGCTGGATGGGTGGACACAGTGGACAGTATGGCTTGGTTTCTGAACAAGAATGGTCAGTAGTGATCATTTTACGACCTTGGATGGAATGTTAATTAGTAACCGGTGCATTCTGTCTCTGACAGCGTCTCGCCCGCCCTTATTACCCAGCCGGGCTTGTGTTTGTATTGGTTTTCCAGCCGCCCACATCGCCTGCAGTACCCGAGCGCGGCGCGTGTCCGCCGTCCCTGTGTCTACTACCGTGAGTTAAGTACCCAGCAGGTTTGTGTTTGTACTAATTGTATCGCCCTGCCGTCCACAGCGTCTGCAGTACCCGAGCGCGGCGCGCGTCTGCTCCAGCTGCAAGAAGGAGCCGACTGCTGACGAGAAGCTGCGCCGGTGCACGCGCTGCTACCGGACCAGCTACTGCGACAGCCACTGTCAGAAGGACCACTGGCCGCACCACCGCGAGCTGTGCCGACCCTGGCCGCCTGAGCCGGTCGGCTGTCCGTTCCTTGTCAGCCTGCCGCGCTCCCGGGCCACCTACACGGAGGTCTGCAGGGCCATGGAGGCCTTCTCCAGGTCAGTACAGGCCGGCAGATGAGGTCAGCTATCTGAGCTGAGGTCTGCCGTTATATGCTTTCTTCGGGCCTCAATGACGACGATTGGCAAACTGCTTTGCGTTAGCTTATCAACGTTACTCATAACCGCTTCTCTGAAAGTAGTTTTGATGACGAACACCCTAGGTGAATGTGAACATAGAGTTAAACTGCTCGACCTGTCGGCGCTGACAGCAGTTTTATGTATCTCCTCCGTCAGGTACTCTGTGAACGTGTTCTGCGTTCCGGTGACGGCCGACCGGGAGCGAAGGGACTCTGTGAGCTCCGGCACCAGCTCCGACAGCGGAAAGGTGAGTGGCGCGCCGCTCTTAGTTTAGTTAGTATAGTTAGCAGCTGTGATCGGGAGCGGAGGGACTCGGTCAGCTCCGGCACCAGCTCCGACAGCGGAAAGGTGGGTGGCGCAACGCTCTTAGTTTAGTTAGCAGTTAGTAGCTGTGACCGGGAGTGAGGGACTCTGTCAGCTTTGGTACTTGCCTCTGACAGTGGGAAGGTGTGTGGCTGATGGCACTCCAAACGAGGCTTGACGTTCGATAGTGATACATGGGGCTTATTTATAAGTTTCTCTGTAGCAAAAACAAGATCTCCTGCGCCACTGGTCTCACTGTCCTGCATTACTTACGTGACGGCATGCACTAGCATTTCGGGCACTGTCTCTTCGGTTCTCTCGCAGTGTGTGGTACGGCCGTGGTGCGCCTGGATGATCGTGTCACTCACCCTGTTTAACCGAAACTCTACCGTGTCTCCACAGTGCACTGACACGGAGGAGACCGTCACTGAAAAGGAGGTCAGCTCCAGTGACTCCACCGACTGCCGGGAGGCGCCCTCCTCGTCAGGTAGGTATGTCGCGGTTTCCGTACTGAGTAAGGAGAACTGGCGTGTTTGTTCAAGATCGGGAGCGACCGTTGACCACCAGCTGTTTGTAACTGCGACACTGTGCGCCACTGGCAGCCTGCTGTCTATTTCCGTCCGTATATTTTTTCAGAAGTGACCGGCGACCACTCTAGCTGCTGTTTGTGATTGAAACACTAGTTATGTGTGTCGGCTGATAGTTTCTTATTGATTCTGTCCAGGTATGACGGGCGACCAGCAGCTGTTTGTGATCCGCTCGGTGGACCAGCAGGGCGAGAACGTCGTCTCCTCAGACAGCGGACGGATACAGGACAACGGTAAGCCACCCGCTGCAAAAAGGTTGGGTCATTTTACCTATCCAGGAAACGGGGAAATGGCCAGTCAAAAGGGACCCGGCCCCACGTGTGACTGAGTCCTTGTGATCTACCTCTCTGTCGTTTGCTCTTACACCAAACAAGTGTAGAATGACCTGCTATTCTGTCCCCATTGCATCGATGCGTTTGTTGCACGACTCGCACGGTGCGCTCCTGTATTGAGCAGTGTCTGTCTACCGAGCGTGTGTGTTTATCTCTGACGCTGTCGTCGCGGTGTCGCCAGGTGACGAGCCGCTGGACCTGCGCGGCCCCTGCACGGTGGCCATGGACTGGAAGACGGCGCGCCGCCGCTGGCAGCCCTGCTGTCTGGTGGACGACAAAGAGCTGGAGTCTGACCCGGACCCGCACCCGGAGCCGGAGCCGACCGGCCGGATCGGCCTGCACCAGTGTCTGCGGCTGTTCACCGAGCCGGAGCGGCTCTCCCCGGGCGAGGCCTGGTACTGTCCCAGGTGTGTACTCTCCCATATACTGTCCCAGGTATGAGTCTGTGCTGTCCCTGGTACTGTCCCAGGTGTGTACTGTCCCATATACTGTCCCCCGGACGAGGCCTGGTACTGTCCCAGGTACTGACGTGCGCATTCTCACTTTCTGTTGGCTGGCGATATCTCAAAACTATAAACCCGTGTATGTGGACGTTGGTCCTGCTGTGATAAGATTCCGTGACAATATCGTTCTTACAGGCTTCGACTTCCCCTGTTCTGTTGCTTTTACTGCAGCCATTGGCTAATAATTTCATCTGTCCTCCACCCCAGTCTGTTTGTGTGGTTTTCCATATGACACTGCATCTCTCCGATGTGCTTGTCCACAGGTGTAAGGCGCACCGTGAGGCCGAGAAGCAGCTCAGCCTGTGGCGGCTGCCCCTGAACCTCATCATCCAGCTGAAGAGGTTCTCCTTCAAGGAGTCCTTCTACGGCCGCGACAAGATCGACAGGATGGTCGAGTTCCCCGTCCGGTAAGCACTGGCCCTTTTCTCTGGTCTTTAATTTTTGCTTTTGAGGCCGTCAGCCCGCCCGTCCTTCTGTGTTCCTCTGTTCGTTTGTTCGTTCGTCCGTTTCTTTGTTATGGTTGTCTTGTTTTAGGACATTTTACTTCACCGGCTGGCTTCTATGGCAGTAGTCATGACGTGGTCTGACGTCATATGGAGGGAGTGCTTGTGCTCAAGCGTGTGTGACAGTAGTTATCTCGACAGTGACAGTACCAGAAGAAGCCAGGCGAACCCGGCTACAGCAGCGTTCAATCTGCCACCGCCGGTATGCAGTGAGGTTGACCACCGATCCCCACTGACCCGCAGGGACCTGAACCTGCGCCAGTACCTGACCGAGGAACCAGACGATGGCCGGGTGCTGTACGACCTGTACGGCGTCATCAACCACCACGGCGGCATCCTGGGCGGCCACTACACGGCGTTCGCCCGCTGCGTGGACCCGCTGCGGCCAGAGAACGCCGAGCTCGGTACGGGCGATAGCTGGGGACAGCGGGAGGACCTCAGGGTGGACAGGATTTCCGAGCACCCGTGTACTCGTTTTCAGCTAAGTCTTTTCAAGTGACACGCTCCTTGATAGAAACTTTTTTTTTGTAGAAAACCATTACTCCATTGGCACAATTGAACATGATTTTATTGACATTAACTTCAATTGTTAATTGCATTTTGCTGCCCGTTATTTTTGCACATAGCATCTGTATCATTGTATGGTTGTACAAAACCGTGACTGCTTATAGTATTTATACCGATATCTGTAACTGACCGTGTGTCTGCGTTGTCAGACCCAGTGTGTGCCGTGTCTGTCCCCCCCCCCCCCATCCGTCATTGACAGTGTTTCCGTGTCTCAGGCTGGCGCCGGTTCGACGACGCCCGCGTTGTGCGTATGAAGGAGGAAGAAGTGATGACCAGCGAGGCCTACCTGCTCTTCTACCGACGGCGCATCCCGTACGCCGCCCCCGAGAGGGCCACGGACGCTGAGGAAATAGACTGAGACGGGCCGACCGAGAGTCTGTCCCGACCTCCGGGACAGGCTCGGAAATAGGTACAAATGGGGCGAGCGTGCCCCGCAGCGCCGGGCGAGTGCGCCCCGCCGGCTGGGTGCGGAGTCTGCCGCCGACGGGAAGCCGGTGACGTTAGGATAGTGGACTGCATAGTCTCGAGGGTGGGGTGGTAACCTGACTGACCGTTCCGCGCGGCAGTGGACCGGGGGCTGGCTTGCTGCCTTGAGAAGTCGGTCGAGACAGTCCTCTACGGGTCACCCCGGAGTGCGCTAATAGCCGCCGGTCGGCTGGAGCGCCGCCCACTAGGACGTATAATTCGTCAGAGAAAGACATGAATCGCCGCAAGTGTAACCGCATATTGTGTACCCACCCGCGTGGTTGTGCCTCTCCTTGTACGCTTAGATCGCTCCAGCAATGCGTCCAGCAATGACGGGATAGACTGTTCTTTCTATCCAAGAACAGTCTGCTTACCAATGTCCGCGCTAGCAGAGGGTACATGCTATGGTTTCCATCTTACGACAGGACAGATTGGCTTTAGTTTGTGTTTGATCTCAGACTGGGGGCAGCCGGCACTGAGCTGGACACAGGACTGCGTTGGTGCTGTATAACCACTCAGGGTTATCACAGCTAATCCTGCTGACATGTATGATCCTCACAGTTCTGTGTGCTTTGACAGCATTGACAGCGAGCGCCTGACAGTGCACAGACGGCATAAATAGAACTCAATGCAATATGTGCGTGTATGGAGTATGGGATGTGCTGGCGCCAGAGGTCAGCGATGTGCTGCAGCTGAGACATACCTCCGGTTTTCTGGAGAATAGCCCAACTCGGCGCTAACAGCCTGTGTATCAATGTGTGTGTCAGGGTGAATGTATGTGGACGAGAGACGTTTAGCTGCATGAGCGCTTTGTAAATATGTCATTCAACTGACTGTGAATGTTTGGACTAGAGCAGTTACCCCAGTGAGTGCCCCGCTTCAACTGAGAAGTCGAAGTCAAGGACATCCGAAATCACCTGTTTCATTGCTTGTCGTCGGACTGGGTACCATTCTCATGTGTATCCGACATTCGAATGCAATCAAGCTGGGAATTGTGTGCCTGTTCATTCGTTACCTCATTTCACTTGCATATCCCAGTGTCAGATGTATACCGCGATTCTGACTCCATACCGATCACTGGTCGCTTGCGTTCAACGGAGGTCCTGTGTCGAACAATGGGGTGCTAGGCGGTGTTACCTCTCACAGGATTGCCTGTGCTGTCCGAGTAGACTGTGCCGACCCCCTCCACTCCCGGCTGCTGTACCCGGGGCCTGTGCTGCGACACCTCCAAACATGTGATTGGCGTGGACCAGGGCCCCTCCGTGCGAGCGGGCAGGCGCCACTGGTCGTTTTCATGCGCGATGTATTCATACCTACGTGATGTGTGTATGCTGTACCGCGCATGATCGCCCTATGATAATACAGAACTTGCCGTTCCTTTATTGAGTCTCTGGATGGTTGTCGTGTATTGACAGAGCTGACCCAGGATAGAACCGATTGGGGCCATGGTTGGAACGTCATTCTTGTCAACGTTGTTCGGGATAAGAGGATACGACCCGTTCTCGCCGCACTCTTGAACGTGAAATTCTGGTCTTTGCCCACTCCTTGGCAAGGGTGTAGTGTCATTCCCACTCAAAACCACGTGCGGGTTACGACAAACGTGCGACATCAGTGCAGCCAAGAATGTGAACGCAGAACGGCATCTCTCGTACGATGACATCACCCAGCTCATCACCCGCTAATTGATGCGGTGATTTATACCACCGCCATGTTCCACCGCTGTCTTTCACAGCTTCGTAGCTATTAGGCATTCCACGAAACATATAAAATTAAAAATACTTTCGAAATATTGAACGCCTGTATTTCAGGGCCTAATTCGTAGGTGACTAACCAAAAGCATTATTTCCCAAACAGAAGCTGCGGCGTGTGCATTGTTTAGTGGGTCACAAACGAAGCATATTCCTTCAGGTCATACAGAGGATAAAGCAATCATTGCCTTGTTAGAGGGTTCATGTTTGCAGTACTTAGTCGTGGATTGGTGCACTGAAGTCGGTTTACAACCACACGCTCATCAGTAGGGGACTGTGTATTTTTGCGTGGGCTGCCCCTCACAATGATGGAGGTATGGGTGGTTTCCGTGCTCTTCAGTCCTAGTGGTAGTGAGGTCGGGGTTGACTTGTCGATCGTTAACTGTTGGCGGCCGACGCCAGAGAGTTCAGCTGTCCTATCCACCGTACTCCTCTCCTCTGTCCCTCACTCCTCTCCTCTCTCTCCTTCAGCAGCCCGGCTGCCATCGAGCCACACCTACACACCGCTGCGCTCGACACTCGGGGCAGCAGGGAGCCCTACTAATTATTGACACATCACTAAACCACTATGTACAGTACACGGGAGACAGGAGCAGCCAGTACCACTGCCAGCTACTGGTGAAAGCGACAACTCCTAGTTTCAAGCGGGCCCACGGCGAGCGCTGGTATCTGCTCGCAGGGCGGCTCACCAGCAATGGACAACACCGCATCGCTCATAACCAGTCGACTAAACCGAACGTAAAACCCGGCTACCGACGAAGCAAACCGACAGTAGCAGACATTTCGCGCATCCCGGCCATAGTGAAACACAAGAGAGAACATATAGTGATTAACGGGGATAGCGTGCACAACACAAAGCTACCGAATGAAACAAGCGGGTGCATTCGCCAGTCGCCACATCTCTTTTTGCGTGGCGAGTAAGTCAAACAAACGAACTAAAATATTCAATAAAACTCATCAACACACGATATACTTATCGATTTCACACAGACCTATGACTCTCGCGGGCGCGGTCGGCAGCGTAAAATTATCGACGGCGGCGGGGCGGCGCGGCGCTACAGCAATGTAAGGTAGTGCTGAGAAGAGATCGCGGACCGCAGCGGTCGCCGGCGGTCCTCCCGCCGTCCCGCCGACTAAAACGTAACAAACACGGCAAGCAGAGTGACCGGTGCCGGTCCCTGGAGCGGCCCGAGCGGCCACACTCGCCCCGGCCGCCCGGCAGCTCACCACGCGACACATACGCACACATCTATATACGGTAAAAATACGCCACGCGCGTTTCTCTGTCAGTGTTCAGGGGTGTGGCGGCGCCCGGCGAGCCGCCGCTGTGTTCTCCCTCACTGGGGACGGGGACGCCCGACTGGACATGGCACCGCCCTCCGTCCCATAGGTAGGGCGGGCACCGGGACCGCGCGCCGGTCCGGCCCGGCTCGGTCCGCGTCCGTTGGAGTCGCGCAGACCAACGCCAGGTCTGGTGACACTGGATGGGCCGACTCCGGGTCCGACTGTGTCTGGTAGATCAGTTTCAGGTTCGGCACTAGGGCTAGACTCGGATGTGATGGCCAGACCACATTCATGCTCGGCTGTAGCGGACAGGCCAGCTTCAGACCCAGCACTGGATGGACCAGCTCCAGACCCGGTCACACCGGACACACCAAGCTCAGGCTCACGGTCATCGCGCATCACAGCGCAGTGAACGGAGCCCGAGACACCACCTGGGTCGTGGCCCGGACTGGAGCCCGGCACAGCATCAAAGTCGCGGCCGGGGCTGGCGTTAGAGTCGTGACCACCAGCACTGGATCCGGAGCGGGGCCTCGGGCCGGAGCCGGCGGACCCGGCGCGCGGACGGTCGGCGGGCTATAGCTCCATGTCGCGTGCCTCGTCCTCGGAGAAGTCGGACATGGACGACTCGCTGGCGTCGCTGGAAGAGGCCGCGTCGGCGCCGTCGGCCTCGATGGGCGCCAGCGCCTCCTCGGTAGCGTAGCGGCGCACATACTCTGCCGGCCGACGGGGGGGGAGGGGAGAGGTGAAATACGGTCTCTGTTCCGGCGGGGAGGGGTGGGATGGAAGAGGCTGATGTGACGAAGTATGAGATCAATGTCGGGATTCATTTCCGCCTGAACTGAACAACAAACGTAATAATCGCACCATGCATTAGGCAAGCGCTACTCGATGCGGTTTCTTCTAGTGATTTATATTCGATGAACCGATATAGGTATTTTAACCAATTCAACAGGCCGAAAGAATAGCCATTCAATCCCGAGCGGAAAACTGAGAAGTACGAACTCATGGACTCACCCATGACTTTTTTCTTGTACTCTTCAGGTTTGTGCATGTACATGGCTGCCGCGTCTCCGTTGAGCGGATCGATCGGATTCGGGTAGGTCAGCAGCTGTGGCAGGAAAGACTCGAAGATGTTGGACAAATCTGAAAAATAGACCGCGAAGGGAAAGAAACAATAAGTACTAATTTATAGATTAAATGTTACCTGGAGAATCAATTCCAGGCGAACTTTCCAGCGCACTCATCTGCGAGTTCACACAAGCAACTAGCATAAATACTCTAGTAGCAACTAACGTCAGGTAGATCTACATCGCGCTCACCGTAGAGTGCCGTCCAGGCCTGGTTGATGACGTCCAGACACACGGTGCCGGACATCTCGTCAATGTTGGGGTGGTACACCTTGTTCATGAAGCCGATGCTGGGCGATTTGAACGGGTAGTGCTCGGGCAGGTGGACCCGCACTCTCCAGACGCCGCCCTCGTACGGAGCTGCCGGGCGGGAGCGGAGGTTACGGCAGATGTGGTGTTACGGAGACATACGGACGATATCACAGAGCACACCAGATCACCAAGGCTGCTGTACGATATTGCAATGCTGACGAGGACATGCTGGCATCGAAATGTTCCTCCTTATAGTGAAGGATCATCGCGGGCCCCAATGGTAGGGAAAAGCAATAATAAAAAAATACGGAAGAGCTTTATGCCTGAAATGACCACCAGCTTTCTGGTGAAATGGAAAATGCACGTTGTTCTTTACCCTGAATACCAGCACAGCTACCATCTCTGGAGCTAAGACAGATTGTCAGCTATCTTACTTTCAAACTGATTTTAGCATTGAATTGAATAAGACCATCAGTGACAGGGCCAGTAGCAGTTTCTGCTCAGTAGCCCAGCGTTATGTGCTTGTTGGTCAGTACTCACTGTTCTTAGGTCCATAGAACTTCACTGAGAATTCATTCAAGCCTCCCATGATTGTGACTTCATGCTTGCTCTCAATTCTGAGATAGGTGCAGTTAAGGAAGTTTGCTAGCCCCTCATACAACAAGCAGCTTCCAGCCACATAAACATAGATCAGAAGTGTTACTAAATTCATAGAGTAGTAAAGGACAGTGTGTGGCACCAAATCACAGAGGCAACCACCAGTTCCATCAGGATTTTAGCTTCGGATAGCCATTGCCAGTCCCCAATCATTAGCCATTAACCCTCGCCCGTATTGGTGTTTTGCCAGCCGCGAACGTATAAGGGGGGGGAGGTCCGTTGGATCGCCCCCCCCCTTATCGATTGGCCCTGATCGAGCTAGAGCTTCGCGGAAAATATAAAGGTGTTACCCATGACGAGAGGAAACCGATGATACCCAATTTTAAGGTCCTAGGTCATTGGTTGACCTACCAGGTCAGGTCAATGACCCAAAAGTCGGGAAAATCCGTACCTGTTGGAACGTCGTAGTGTGGCTGCTAGGAGGTTTTCGGGGTGCTGATCACGAATATCATGTTAGTTTTGATCTTAGATGATGTCTTCATGCATTTAGGCCAGGTCGGGTCAGGTCAGGTCAGGTCGGGTCAGGTCAGGTCATCCAGTAGGGGTCCTGACGGGTATTCGTAGTAGAGATGTCAATCGGATACCAACTTTTTGGTAAACCGATACCAAACCGATACCAATTTGGTATTTGGTATTTCAATCCTAATAAGTTTGGTATGTTGTTGGTATCATGAACCCTCATTAATGTATAAGAGGCTAAGGAATTGGTAAAAAGTCGGTATTTCCCTCATGTTCTCAAGTTGGTTTGGTTTCGGTATTTCCCCACGGTGTTGGTTGGTATTTGGTTTGGTATCAGTATTTCGATTTTCTGTAACTGACATCAATAATTCGTAGTACGTGTCAACCGCCTCTGACAGCAGTAGCCCACGCCGGGCCTGTGTTTGAACACCCCCCCCCCCCTGCGGTTTTTCGCAGAATTCTCAGCGCCTCCGTTTTTGGCACACCTGTTCGTACATCTTTTCCGCACATGTTGTGAAAATTTCAGACCCAGGTCGCCTTAGGTCAGGTCACCAGGTCACGCCAAGTGACCTCACCTCGGAAAAAATAAGAATGCTCGTCATAGCTACACCGATTAATTGATTGCTTTGAAACTTTCCGCGATTGATATGAGCAACATTATCTATGAAATGTATATCTCGGAATTTCGATATCAGTGACCTAAGGTCAGGTCAATTTTGCGGCCTCTCCATTATAAATTCAATGGGAGAAAATTGAAAAGCGTCTGTTTTGCACGAACGCTATTCTAGACACTCTTAACATCGAGATGTAGGTAAGATTGACACACTGAACCGAAAACTGGCAACTGTGACCCCT